TGGCTACATGAGAGATGTTGAAGTTTAAAGTCCATCACCTCATGACAAAACAAAACCTCTCAGGGCAAAGCCTGGCCTCAAGGTCAACACATGATAAAAAATGAAAAAACAAACCAAAACCAAACCTGCTTAGTGGTGCAACAGTGCCCCTACTCTTGGTGCACTGCCTGAGGATGGAGCAGGTTTGACAGCTCTGTGGAGAGCTGCTCCAAGAGTTGGGTATTCCTCCCACCCTCAAGCCATTGCTTACCATAATGCAAAATGGCAAGAGATCAACAGTAAGAACAGTTCTTTGTACCAGATCAAAGTACAAGCTGGATGATGACCACAGGGATCAGTTTTATGGCTTGGATCTTTCATATGCTGTCCCCAGGAAACATCTACAAAGGCTGTGGTGCACTGGTCAGCTTTTGGAGCAACCAAGCATGGGATTTCCTCCCTAGGGATGCATCTGAACAGATACGGCGGTTTTGTTTTTCACTGTTAGGTTTGTATTGCTCAGCCATGAAGGAAAGCATGGGAAACTCTTCCTGACTTCAGGATCCTGGCCACACATGGACACACAGAGTCTGTGATAGGAGGTGTAAGTACAGAGAGGATCAGAGCCTTATACCCAGCAGACAGGGCCATGCTCCTGCCTGGCCCAGCATGAAAGGAAGGATTAACCCATTGGTATATATCCTGGTTTTGTCTGGGATAGAGTTATTTTTCTTCCTAGTATCTGGTGCAGTGTTTTGTCTCCAGTCTGAGAACAATGTTGATAGCACACTGATGTTTTTGTTGTTGATAAGTAGTGTTTGCCCTAAGTCAAGGACTTTTTGGTCTCTTGTGCTCTGCCAGCGAGGAGGGGCACAAGAAACCAGGAGGGAGCAGGGACAGGACACCTGACCCAAACTGGCCAAAGGGGTATTCCATACCACAGCACGTCATTCTCAGTATAGAAACTGGGGGGAGTCACCTGGAAGGTCCAGATCGCTGCTCGGGTTGGGCTGGGTATCAGGCAGGCTCCTGGGAAGAGCAGGAAACCATATCTACACTCAGAGCAACAACCAGTGAGAGAAAAAGTGGTGGGTTTTTTGAATCCAAGTTAGAAACATGGAGACCATTCTGTGTTTTCATGTCATACATTCCCAACTATTATTTAAGTATGCAGTTCTTTTAACAAAGTATAATTGATATGAGCATTCATCAGTAAATCCCCAAATAAACCTTCACTTCCCATCAATTGCAGCTCTTAAAACCAGCTTGAGTGCTGAGGAGGGCAAGTGAAGCAGACCACATGCCTCACCAAGGCCAGTCCCTGTTAACCCGTGGCTGATGTTACAGCTCACATCACGGACCCTAATGTCTTCAGCAAAACTTCCTCATTAAACCTGCATTGTGGGAGAGTTTTCCTGCACAGTGCCCACACGGATGTTGTTCCAGAAGTTCACTCCGAGTTAAAACCCTCCTAATACCAAGCTCGATTTTATTCACAGCTAGCGCCTATTTATTTTCACTCGATATTTCTGCAGAACTAATTAATGGATCCTCCCATCCTCTTTGGTTAACTGAGTGTCACACTTTCATTAGTAAACGAGTTCTCCATGCTCTCCTCAGTCCCCTGAGGCCATCAAACCCCATTGTACCTGTCCCAGGCAGCCGTTTCTTGGCTCAGGAAAAGGGCAGCTGTTGCCAGTAGTCACATCTGGTGGCTGCTAGGGGGGCTTAGCCAGCAGTTTGTGTGCCCAGGAGCCATTGCAGAGGCTCAGCTCACCCTCTTTGCCTTGCACAGTGGCTGCGTTGCTTTTCCATACTCCTTTGGTTCTCTATCCCTATGGGATCACCTGCCAGTGAGGCCGCTGCTGTAGCCCCCTGTGCATACTCTCCTTTTTCTTCCTGTGCTAACAAGCATCACCCCGTGCATATGCAGTACAAGTCTGTCTCCCTTTGGCATGAAAAATAAGTCACCACTTGATGTCAGCACAGGACTTCACAGAAACCAGCATAAAAATGCAGATCTGCAGATTTATTTATATATTTTCACAAACCTATGTCGATCAAGGAACTCTTGTAGGAATAAGATAATTGTTCAAATGAGGTTAATATTAACAACACAGAGCTTCAGGAGCTGTATTCTCACCAGATCTTAATTTACATGGTCATTTTTTTCTTACTGTGTGGGGTTTTTTTCTTTTAAATTATATTCCTTGATTGTGCAGCTGAGTCCTTGGGAATGAGCCACAGTGTACTCAGTACATTATGGCACTGACTTTGCTTTTTCTGTGTTGATATCAATGCAACAGGCTTTACATTTCGATTTTCATATTACCACAGAAAATTGCACAAAGAAAGGGTTCTAAAAAAGGGCAGTCCTTTCCTCACATCTTTCTTTATGAAGAGTTACTGGATTTCTTTTTCCATCCCTTTAACTATCACAGTGAACACATGGAGACGTGTTTCATTAAGGAGTCCCGCACCTTATTTCGTGTAGCTTGGCTTAAGGATTACCTCCTGCTTGAAGAGTAACTCCTTCCAACATGAAGCCTGCATGTGGTGTCAAGTATGAAATCTGCAGTTCCTCATGATGGAGTAACTGAGTTAGTTGGTCCTGCGTTAGGAAACAGTTCCCGTGGAAGTTCCGCCACCTCAGCAGGGTGGCAAGCCAGGGGAAGCAGGTTTTCAGACCAGCTGCCTGGGCAGTGATGGGGACGTGATGGGGACATGCCAATGTCACCCACCTCATGCTGTGGGTGCTGGCTGGCCATCAGCCCTGCTGCAACACGGGTGGCTGAGGGCAGCTGTCCTCAGTAGCTCCTGTCACATGCTATTTGGAAATGCACACCTCAGCCAGCGAAAGGGGACAGCAATTCTTTTCTAGAAAACATCACCTCTGCACTAAGCAAGTATTGAAAGCTGATGGCTGGGCTTGCAGCCACATTTCTCCCTGGGGGTGTCCTCCTGCTGAGCAGCACATGGCCACAGAAGTTAGTTGTGCATCGTGGACACTGAAGATGCTTCAAAGTGAAGTAGACTGTGGAGCACGTGCCCCATGGCCCAAGGCGTAGGCTCACAGGATCAGCTCCAGCCTCCTCTCTCTCCACCTTGCCTCTCTGCAGCCTCTTCTCTCTGCATCAGCCCTCAACGAGGAGCTGGGAGCCCTGGAAGCCCACATCTTCTTGCTGCTGCAGAACTGGGAGGAGGAGGAGGGACCCATGAGGGACAGACCCCTCTGGTGTTGCCTTGTTCTGTGCTCCTCATCCTGGTCCTGTGTGCCTATTGCCAGACCACAGCTCTGGGAGTGTGGGGGCAGAAAAAAACAGAAGGATGTGTTTCCTCTGATGTGCATAGAGATGTGTAGCTTGGTGGTTAGTGACCTGGCAAAGCTCAATTTGTTGGATGTGAGGCAATATCAGGGGCACCCAAGCCCCACTGCTCTGAGCCATCTGTGCTCCAGATGGACATGGTGAGTTTCTTGCCTCTGCCTCCCCTTCTGCCCCATTTTGTCTGTGATGCAATCCTCAAAACACTGCCAGCTTCTTCTTTGCTCTCTCCTTGCTCCTGCTTACTCAGAGTCCTGGCTGGCAGGGTGAGGAGGTAGGAGCCAGCATGACTGACAGAATGACTGATGTGCTTTCAGCCCTGCTGTAGCCCACACTGGTCAATTACTGTCATAGTATCATAGAATCATGGAATGGTTTGGGTTGAAAAGGACCTTAAAGATGATACAGTTTCAACCCCCCTGCCATGGACAGGGACACCTTCCACTAGACCACATTGCTCAAAGCCCCCTCCAACCCATCCCCCATATGACACAGGGCAGCATACAAAATGCTGCTGCACCCCATGGCCTTGTCACCCCTTTTTCTAGGCCTCCCATAGCTACAAGAAGCCATCTCTTTGACCTCCACATCATCATTGTCCATGCAGGTCACTTGTCTCCTGCCTGACAGATTATAGACAAAAACTGTTCAGTGCCCTGAGTATTAATGAATCCCCAAAGCACCACTGCTTTGCCTAAGGCAGAGGAGAGGGCCCAGACCAGCTGCCCCTTGCCCAGCTGTTCTCTCCCTTCCCATAGGGAAGAGCCCTTCCATAGGGAAGCTGCAGGTAAATCACACCAATAGCTGTCAGCTCCAAAAAGATGGAAAGGGTGGAGGCCAGGTTTTACTGTAGCTTTACACAGTAATCTGTCTGTCAGAGGGCTTATTTTGGGGACAAATATATTGTGGAGCTTTAGGCTATTCTTTGCATAGAGAATATGAAAGTGGAGCAGCAGATTCAGGAACAAGGGAGAACTTTTCCAAATTAAAAAGGAAACACTCCCTTGCAGACAACTGTTTGGGAACAACAATGGAATTGCATCCCTCAGCCCTGACTAGACACCAGGCAGTCCAAACCAGGTGACAGTAATCATGTGTAGTCTTGGCCAAGAGCTAGCAGTGAGTGACACACACTAATCCTGTTTACATGCTCATATACTCTGTCTTTGCACAAAGGACAGTTATCACCATGCACGATTATAAGCAGCACAGGTCTTTGTGTGTTCAGAAGTTAAAAGAATTCAGGTGAATGTTGCTCAACCAGCAGAGAGGAAGCACACACTCTGCAAAGAGTTAATGCTTAGTGCCGTTAAAATGAGTTATAATGCAGCTAAACACCTGGCCAGCTCGGTTCACCATCTGAAGAAAAAAGAACAATATGGTTTTCTAGCCAAATCCATAGTGCATCAGCATTTCTAAAAACTGGAGGAACTTGCAGCTGTTCAGAGGAGCATCAGCACTGCCCTTCTGGTTTGGTTACAGATTGCAGGAAATTCTGGGGGAGCGAGCAAGGGGAAGGAAGGTAACCCCGGGGACCTCTGATTCTCTCACAGGGATGCTACATTCACAAGGATTTGAGACAAGCCACAAGGTTGTGCAAGACTCCTGACAGCCTGGCAGAAAAAGACA